CCCTTCACTCTTCTCCGAAACACACACCCATTTCCTCTGTAGTTTTCATGTATATAATGTTTATTTAATATTATTATTTATTTAATATATTATTATTTTAAATATTATTATATGTTTTTAAAAATTAAACCACCAAACAAAATTTCAGTTTTTTTTTTAAATTGAAAACAATCTCGGAATAAAACTACCAAACACATTTTCAGAAATGATTCCAAAATGAAAATGAAAACGTTTTCGTTTTCATTTTCATACAAAAAACAAAATCATTTTGGAACGAGTTCGAAACGCACCCAAATATTTTTTTTTTGTTTTTTAAGAATCTGACATTTGTTACCCTAGAGAAACGAGAAAAAGAGAAAATGAGAGATTGAGTTGGTTGGAATTCTGGGACTGACTTCAGGGGCATCATCGGGCTTCCGACTCTGAAACTTGGTCCTTGGATTCATCTCATCGTTGTCTTCTACGTAATGGTGGTAGTATGCGGAGTGGTGCTTCCATTGCAGCGGATCTGACACACTTTGGAAGTGTGGTGCTATTCGTTTGGGCTGTTGTCTTTAACATGTTTGCTGAATGGTGACTGTGCTCCTTTGGCGTTTTGTTTCGTGCGGCAATGAGTTTCTCTTGAAGGTAGTGTTTTCAATTGCTGACGATGGCTGCAGAGGGTGAGTTTCACTTGCAGCTTTACGCCGTTTGCTCTACCACGTTGTATCCCCTTTAAAGTCTTCTGTTTTTCCTGGTGGTGCTCTTGTCAATTGCCTCCTCACCAGAGTCGCTTGACAACAGGTCTTGGGATATTTTTGTGTTTATTAAATTTTTATTTTCGGTGTGCTTTTACTACAATAGCTGGGGTTTTCACCTCATTATCTTTGTTTATTTTTGGAGTCTGTTGGACTGGTGTCTTGGCGGTGTTTGGTGTAGCCTTAGTGCTATAATGTTCTGCCCCTCTATCGCTTAAAAGTCTATCTTTCTGAGAGGAGTTTTATCAAATAAAACCATACGTGTGCTCGATCTTAGTGTGCCAGCATTTTCCTATTTTTGAACCTCAAGTGTGCGTCTGTTCTCCCACTAGGTCATTAGCCGTCTATTGTGTTTGTTATTCTGGTTTTGTTTAAATGTAAGTTCCCTGATATTTATTAAGAAAAAAATAGTTAAATACTTTTTCTATTTACTATTTTAAGATAGTGAAATTTGTTATATATACTACAATATCTCATACACTTAAATGGTAAAATGAGGGTCCTTTATAATTCAAGGGGTAAAAGTGAGAATTTAAGACATCGTTCGCTTCGCAGATTTGAATTTTCAATTTAAATTGAGACGTGATTTTTTCTAAAAACTTTTAACTGTAATAAAAAATTAAATGTGATATTTTTTAAAAATTTTTAACTGTAAAAATTTAAAACTGAAAATTCAAATGTGAGAAATGAACAATACTTAAATTAAGGGGCCAACTAGTGAGAGTGAACCGATAGAAAAAAAACACTTGTCCAGGTTCAATGAACCAAGACACCCGCCAACCTTGTAGTTCGGACAGCGACTTCATCTCTCCCTACAAAAAAACTTTCCTCATTCTTCCACTCACTCTCACTCACACAGTGTCTCATATTCTTAGAAACGTTTCATCATCTTCCATGGCATTCGCATCTTCTTCTTCTCACCTCCGCTCCTCGATCGCTTCGATCTCTTCGCGCCGATATCCGAAAGGTACATTTTTCTTTCGAACTGTGATTGTTTCAGAGATTAAGGAAATTTCGATAGTTTGGAGTTATTGATCTCTCTCTGTTTGTGCATCAGATCAATTTTCGGTTCCCTCGACGGTTTCGTTCGAGAAACGTTTTCAGAAACAGTTTTCGAAACCAGTTTTCCCGGGATCGGAAAGGAATCACCTTGTTTTCCCTCTGGAAGCTTCGAAAGCTGCTTCTCTAGGTAAAGAAAAGGAATAGTTTTTGTTTAATCCGTAATTCGTATGTTTTTGTGAACGTAATTATTTGAATTAGAAGATCTCTTTTGTTATTTGTGTGTAAATTTATATTTACCATAATGTTGGAGAAATCATGATATTTACATTCTTGAATTCATGGAATTCTAGTCGAATTGTATTTTTTTAATGGGGAAATGTGCAGAACTTGGAGATAATAGCGTAGATGTAGAAGATTATGAGAAGTTGGCCAGAGAGTTGGAAAATGCTTCTCCGTTTAAAATTATGGATAAAGCGCTTGAGAAATTTGGGAACGACATTGCCATTGCTTTCAGGTATCTTTCAGTTAATGTTCTAAAATGAATGAATGAACGTGAATATATTATATAATATGTGTGTATGTAAATATATATGTATATGTATACGTATAATATAACTAGAATTTAGCCGGTTAAGAGTGTGTTTGGTTGGGGGAGAGCTAATCTATTGTTTGGTTGTAGGGAGGAGACGAAAAGACGAAAAGTCTTCTGGCCTCACTAAATTCATGTTGAAAAGGACTACATATTTTATTCTTTTAAAAGGTTTATTAACAAATAGTAAAATGAAGAAAATAACAGTTAGACAAATAAACTATCATAAATATATATATATATATATATATATATATAAACATATATGTTATTTCAACTCTCCCTTTCTCTTACTGAACAACATGAAAGGTTTGCTATAATGCTCTTGATGCTTGCATTCTTCCCCTATCTATCTATCTGTGAACCTTTGAAAAGTTTAGGATTTATAAACCTTTGAAAAATCTAGTTGGCTTTATTACATTGAAAGAAAAAAAAAGGGGAAAAAAGAGAGGTAAATCAAGATTTGCGTTTGATGTCGGAGATAGAGTCCAATGTGTGTTTAGCTATTTGCAAGTCTATCCACTTTATGCAAATAACTTCACCACTCATCTAGAATAACAATCTGTTATTCTTGGGGCTCTTGTTTTGCAGTGTATTCCAAATGTACTTAGCATATGATATACTTTCTCCTCTGTATTTACAGACAAAGTTAATAGATTTTACTTTACTGTTCTGTAGTTTTGGAATATGTAACTTAAAATTTTGGTTATTTATTTGTTCTTGCAGTGGAGCTGAAGATGTGGCGTTGATTGAGTATGCCAAGCTAACTGGTCGACCCTTCAGGGTGTTTAGTCTCGATACCGGGAGACTAAACGCCGAAACATACCAGTTCTTTGATGCTGTTGAGAAGCACTATGGCATCCCCATAGAGTACATGTTCCCTGATGCAGTGGAAGTTCAGGCATTAGTAAGAGGCAAAGGGCTGTTCTCATTTTACGACGACGGGCACCAAGAATGCTGCAGAGTGAGGAAAGTTAGGCCTTTAAGGAGGGCCCTTAAGGGTCTCTGCGCTTGGATTACTGGACAAAGAAAAGATCAGTCTCCCGGCACCAGGGCTGAGATTCCGATCGTACAGGTGGACCCTACATTTGAAGGAGTTGATGGAGGTATTGGCAGTTTGGTGAAGTGGAATCCGGTGGCGAACATGGAAGGTCAGGACATATGGAGTTTCCTTCGAGCTCTGAATGTACCTGTCAATTTTCTGCATTCGCAAGGTTATGTCTCTATTGGATGCGAGCCGTGCACGAGGCCAGTGCTGCCGGGGCAGCATGAGCGGGAGGGAAGGTGGTGGTGGGAGGATTCCAAGGCCAAGGAATGTGGCCTCCACAAAGGAAACATCAAGCAAGAAGCGGCGCCACAGCTAAATGGAAATGGAATTTATCTCGCAAACGGAAGCCCCACGGCTTCTGCGGACATCTTCAACAGCCAGAACGTTGTGGATTTGACTAGAAAAGGGATTGAAAACCTGGCTAGATTGGAAACCAGAGGAGAACCTTGGCTTGTTGTGCTTTATGCACCTTGGTGCCGCTTCTGCCAGGTAAAAACTAAGTTCACGCATTAAGTTCAATTTGAAAGAATGGATTGAGCATGACATGATCGTCTCTAATCTAACCTTTTGTTCCCTGGAATTTGTTTAGGCAATGGAAGGATCATATGTCGAGTTAGCGGAAAAGTTGGCAGGGACAGGGGTGAAGGTAGCTAAGTTCAGGGCTGACGGCGATCACAAGGCATACGCACAGCAAGAGCTGCAGCTCGGAAGCTTTCCCACAATACTGTTTTTCCCAAGACACTCGTCCACGCCTATCAAGTATCCATCAGAGAAGAGAGATGTCAGTTCTTTGATTGTTTTCGTGAATGCTCTACGATGATAGAATGCCATCTTTTGGCTAGATTTAGAATCAGCATCAAGTGAATGGAAACGCTCTTTTTGGGCATATTTATTATCGCTGGATAGAGCTTTTGATTGACTATTTGCAATGCTATAATAGAGGCACACTAAACAAAGCCGATAATCTCGGATCTTGGTTAGGCGATCATCTTAGATTAGGGAGTTATGTGTAATCATGTGGTACGAATATCGTGAGATCAATCATCTTGTCGATCTCAACACTTCATGCTTTTGTTGAATAAAAATGGGTCTTGCTACAGATTGTATAGTTTACTTTGGTCTATAAGTGTGTGTTACATATACACACATACGTGGGGCTTTCGATACAAACAACTAGAAAGCCTAAAGAATGTAACATTCCATAAGCCTAAACTATGTGATTAAATAAATTCTCCTTTATCCGCTGCGGCCCTGCGGGTGGAGTACTCCGCGTTCCCCTTCTTCAAAATCCATGATCAGCGCCATCTTAGCTTCTAATTATCACACTGATCACGATGCAGAGAAAGAAGATCTATTCATTATTAGGTCTCGTTTATTTTGCTAATTCGAGTTGAGAACTCGAGTTAAAAAGTAAATTTATGTGAGAATGTAACAAAAAAGTTGAGTTTGCATTTTTGTAAGAGAAAACAGTATGAACAAAAAATTTTAGTTGTGATTCAAACAGTTGAACGAGGCCTTAATCTTCATGTACATGCATACATACATTCAGACACACACATGTATAGGCACTAGTATGGTCACAAACATATTCACACAGAAGTTATGTCTCGTTCGCTTCGCGGATTCAAGTTTTTAATTTAAGTTGAGATATGTCATTTTTTGAGAGTTTTTAACTGTAACAGAAAAAGTTAGATTTGACATTTTTTGAGAACTTTTAATTATAGAAACCTAGAACTGAAAATTCAAAATGGCGAAATGAACGATGCCTAATATTTGGCACAAGTAACCATTACTACCACTATGTGTGGTTGGTGGAGGGATGGAAAAGACTAATCCATTGTTTTATTAGAGGGAGGAGTGGAGGGATAAGAAAGATGGAGGAAGTGATTCTGTGTCAGGGCCTACCAATTTGAATCGTTTCATTAATTAAAAAATTCAATCAATTCATCAAATTGAATCAGACTATTGCAAAATGAACAATACAGTAATTAGACAGAGAAAATTGTTGAACTTACTCTTAGAGTGTATAAATTTAAATTTTTACTTTTTGCTCTTAATTAATACAAATTTAATCAAAGTGGAACTATTTAATAAGACATTTGTCTCATTTTTCTTTTAAAATTAACTATAATTTTTCATCAACTCTCTGCCTCTGCTGCCGAATAATATAAAGAATTACTCTATGATTTTCTCTAATTTCTACTCTCTTCATCCTCCTACCAAACGGAGTTAATATTTATTACATCGTCATCCGTAGCCGGTATGTAGGTTTTGGAGTAGAGATTTTCTAACCACCTCTGATTTTGATTTGAAATGGGGACCTGCAGTAATTCGACCACCTCTGATTCTCAAATGGCCTCTAGTCATTTGAAAGAGTAACTTGTCCAAATGATTTTTTTCAAGGGTTATATATATATATATATATATATATATATATCTGTGTGTGTGTGTACGTTCCAATTTCTAAGAGTAAAGATCCATTAATTTTTCTTTCTGAGTGCATACTAATGCAACTTCAATTCATGATGAACAAAATAGCTTTTGAATATAATCTATTTAAAGATGTTTTCTTCTAAAAGTAGTTTTTGAAATTTATGAAAAGTTCTCTAATTAGTAAATATCATCATTCCAAATGTCATTACAGACAAACAAGATAACAAGGAAAAGAAATATATAGATAAAAAGCAAAAAGCACGATGTTACTACAAAGTATTACCGACAATTCCACACCTTAATATAATTATTGGAATTGTCTCCAGACATCCGAACCAGTCAGAGTACATTTTTAATTGTTATAACATTGATTGTATATTCGTGTAACACTTGATATATATAATATGACATTTATAACATTATAAATGAACAAATTGAGTGTTATGCGAACATGTAAACAATATTATAATAGGAAATGAAAAATATTAAAAGTAATGGATTAGTCGGGTATCATAATTGAGACTTTTTTCATTAACTTATAAATTTAAGAAAATTTTAAGTTTAATTATTGTTTTTTCTAACTTTATTATTTATATCATTACATAAAATTTTAATGCCACTATCGAAAATAACTTACAGGTTACAAAAAATAATCTACAGACTAAGAAAAGATAACATACAAGTTGTTAGTTGCATAACATAAATTTAACAACGATGACATAAATAAAATAATATTATTTTATTGATGAAAGTTTTAAAAATTCCCCTAATAATTTTACATAATTAAGTCACTCTCTCTAGAGATTCCTTTCTTGTACTTTTTTCCCTCTGCCCCGAAAGACACCAATTTTGTCTCGTTTTCATTTTTTTTTTTTAAAGAAAAAAAGCCACCACCCCACTTATATAAATTGACCACTTACAACGCAAAGAGCGAGCTATGGAGACCTTATAATTCTTAGTAGTTATTACTATATTCTACATCCCAATTATGGCTTGCAATGTCAGAAATCTAGAAAGGCTTTTTAGCTTGTTCTTGATTTTCTTTTCCACATTCTTTGGTGGTTTCATAATTAATCTCTCAGAAGCCCACAAGGCTCCAGCCATGTTTGTGTGTGGAGATTCCCTAGTTGATGTGGGTAACAACAATCACCTCAAATTTGCCTCCATAAAAGCAAATTTTCCTTACCATCGCATTGACTTTCCCACCAGGAATGCCACCGGGAGGTTTGGAAATGGCAAAATTGTGGCAGATTTCTTAGGCACGTAAAATATTTCATCAAAATACATGTCCGTTTAGTTCGCTGATTCGAGTTGAGATATGATTTTATGTGAAAGTTTTTTACTGTAGTAAAAAAATTAGAAGTAATTGTTTCTGAGAGTTTTTTATTGTAGTAAAACTTGAATTCTAAACTCAAATACGGGACAGTCCTTTACACACACGTGTCTTTATGTGCTTTCCTATGTATGTTGTAATTAATTGATGAGGTTCCTTTTATGATCATCATCTAATTACTTAACTCGTAATCATATAATAATCGTGGCTGGAGGGCTTAGCCAATTTCCCTCGGGGCAAATTCCATATTTAATGTCAATTAATGTCACACGTATATTGAGCGATCATGATATGATTCTACTCTATCATCAATTCATATCTTGAGTTATCTTAACTATGTCACCTTTAAAGTTCCGTTCATTTCACCGATTCGAGTTTAGAATTTGAGTTTTACTACAGTAAAAAGCTCTCAGAAACAGTCACATCTAACTTTTTTACTACAGTAAAAAGCTCTCACATAAAGTAACATCTCAATTCGAATTAAAAACATGAATCAGCGAACGAAATGAGTCCTAAATATAAAAATTTAATGATGGTAATATATATATATATATAATTTTTATATATAGAATGCATTGTAGTGTATATATATGCAGAGCTATATGTAACAATATGAACTGTTTTTAGAAGTACTATGTGAAACTTCATTTTTTTTGAATTATAATTTGAAAATTGAATTAAAGTTCTTTTGATATGTGCAGCTGAGAAAGTTGGCGTGCGAAGTCCAACCCCATATCTGTCCATGCCATTAAACCATACTAATTTTACTGAAAAGGTGAAATACTATCAAACTGGTGTTAACTTCGCCTTTGGAGGTGCTGGAGTTACTGATACAACAATTGTTTTTGTGAGTATATATGTGTGTATTTGCATTGTTGGACGTCTGTTCGGCTACTGTTGCGAAATTGCTTTTGAATTTAATTGAAATGTGTTTGCTCGCAAGCGAATGAATCGCAAAAATAATAAAGTGTACCTAAATATAAATATTATCACACAGAAATTAAGTTTTTATAAGTTAAATTAAGTACCATAATTATAATAACTACAACTTTATCTAGAATTAAACTAACAAAACAAGTAAAGAAATAATTTGGAAACAAGAAGGGATCGAATGGAACTCTGATGGTATTAAGGCGGCTAGGGGTCTGATTTCATCCTACCGACCTATGCTAATCTGATTCTTAAGCTTGATAACTAATTTCACTCAATTCATTAATCTTAAGTTTTCGAAAGTAATTTCACTCCCTCTCTCGAGTGCTGAGTAAAATAGTTTGCAAGATCCAGTTAAACAATATCCTTATTAGCCTAACCAAATCAAGTATCCATTAAGCAACATAATATTGATTACCTGAATTAATTGGCCTCCCGAACTCAACTAACTCTAGGTTGTGCTTTCCTGCCAAATCCAACATGTGAAAGTAACTCTCCCGAACATAAATTCACACATCTATATCTCTAATTCAATGGATAATCAACTTAGACAATAAGCATAGAGAAACATAAATGGATTAAATTGTAAATACATTAACAAGCATATAGAATCTTCATAACATAGCAATGGTAAAACTACATCAAACCCCTAGCTCTAAAGAGTTTAGCTAGAAGTATACATCAATAATCCCATAGCATAAAGCATAAACAGTCCAAATCTCATATCCACAGTCTACACAAAATCAAGGAAAATACAAATTCTATAAGATAAAAGAGGAAGGAGAAGAAGGAAATAAAACTCATTGAAGAACAAACTCTAAATTTTCAAGCTCCCGTCCAATCTCCAAGCATGCTCTTTAAACCCTCATATTTTCCTCTTTTGGTTCCCTTTTTTTTGTGTTTTCAAGCATCCCCTTGTGATTCTTAGCTCAATTCCATTTTATACTCCCCTTGAAATCAATGCAAATGAAGTATTAAATGACTGCAAAACGCGTGGAGGCACTACAGTAGATCACTTTCCTGTTACAGCGCCATTAGGATTTTTGAGAAAACCCTAACAACGCAGACAACCCTGTTGCAACGGGTCTTTAGTTTTTGGGGTACTGCAGCGCAAGAAGTAGGCGCTGTTGTGCCTGAGGCAGGGGCCTAGGGCTAGCTTTCTGTTGTCTGCGCTGCAGTTGAATTCCATTCCGCTGCAGTGGCTTCATGACTTGATTTGGCTCCGAATTTGACTCTTTTGAAGATATTTTTATTCATTTTAACTCAAACCTACAAAAGCAAGGAAAAAAAAAAAACAGAACGCTAAAAACACTAAGAACCAACAAAAATAACCAAGAGTTGTAAGTAATAAAATCGAGATGTGTAAGTAATAAAATCAAGCTATCAGCTACGCTCGCCGAGCATTTTTCGGGAGTATACGCCGAGAAGACACCGCCGATACTCCGCCACCAACAGTGACACTAGACATGATAACTTTGCCGTCCTTAATACTCGGCAACCTTTACACCTGGATATCTTGCGCCATATACTATCTTGTGACCAATCTCTTTGCCAAGCACTCCCTATGTCGGGGG